TTAAACACCATATTTATTTCTTGAATATTATTCACCATAACCATCAAATATTTTGAGATTTTTTTGTTCAGAATTCTAAAAGTAGAAAATCCAAGTTTCTTATATGAATTTAAGAATATAATGTGAAATTTAAATTTAATTAATTAATTAATTCTATTATATATAAATATAATTTGCATATATTATATTTTTCTGTGTCAATATTAATAATAATACTATTTTATGCTAAATAATATTTATCATTAAAATTTATTTATGTCTTCATATTAGTAAAAATATGAATAAATGGCCCAATAATTTTTAAAGTAGAAATATCAACAAGTAATTTATAACATAGTTGATTAAATAAATGAAACTTAGATGTAATCATTTTTGCTAATTTTGTTGTAAAGTACAATAAAATTTAAGACTATAAAAAGATTATTAACATTTTCTAGTCTACTTTCTAAATTAGAACTTATTAAAAGACCCTTTTCTTTTATAAAAAAAATTTAAATATTGTCAAATCTTATTTTCAAATATTGAGAGCCAATCAACAAAGCGCCTATGTAATTGTCTAAATAGATACAATAAGTAAAGTATATTAGATAAAATATCTCACCATTTTTTACAAAAATAACAAATATTAGGTAAATAATAAAAACCCCAAAGAGGCAAATACTTTTCATATTCTTTTAAGTTTCCTCAAAAAGTTTATTTTTGAATAAAGGAATCAATAACTTGAAAAATATGCCACAAAAGCTAAGTAAATCTTTTTTTGTATATTAAAACTACTATTATGTGAGAAGCTCGCTTTAAAAAAGCTGTATCTTTACTGAAATATCCATAAAACCCGTATTGTTAATAATACACAAATTTATGCCTTTTTTTGAAAATGGAAAATAAATTATAAAAAAGATATCATTCTTAAAGCTTAGACATAATAATGCGTACAGCTATTATAGCATAATTGAATTATGAACACTTCTATCAGCTAAGTATTCTTTTTATTACAAGAAATTATATTCTATCTATATTAAAATAATAAATAGAGAGCTATTAGAATATTTAAAAGAATCTTAATTTTCCTCCTTTGTTATGATTAAATGAATATTTGATTTTTCTTTAAGTAGAGTCTTATTTAAAAGAAAGCAAATTTACATCATAATTAATTAAGTTCACAAAAAATCAAATATTAGAATAGTCAAAAACAAATATGGATGAAAAATTAATTCTGAAATTTTAATTATGAAAACTACATGATGAAATAAAAAAGAGAAGAAGCTATAATACCTTTATAGACCAATTATATCACTTTTAGGAATAAACAGCTATACATTAGATTAATATAATAAATAAAAAATTATTAAATTTAAGCATTTAAATCTTTTTTTATTATTTTTAAAATACAATTTATAATTTTAATTTTAGTTTTTAATTTTTATTTATTATAGTTTTATTAATTATAATATTTATTATATTTTTAGTTTATTTTTATAGAAGTTAATAGCGAGCTTAAATTAGAACACAGTCTTAAATTAGAATCAGCTTAAGATAGAGTATTTACGGTATATTATTTAAATTTATTCATTTTAAAAGAAGAAGAAGACGGTGAAAGAGATCAAATATTTTACTTATTTATAAACTTTTATTTTATTAACTAAAACTAAATAAATAATAAATAACTTATTAGCATAATAATAAATGTTAAAACTTAAATTTTACAATTTTTAAATTTATAACTTGAAATTAGATCCTAAATAAATAAATATACTTTGAATGGAAATTTTTTATTTGCAAAATTACGATTATTTAAATTTTTTAAGCCATTAATACTATACTTACTTAAATAACATCAATATTGAAATTATTTTCTAGCCTCAAAAAAAAAAAATGGAATTTTAAATGAAAACTTCAATAAATTAAAAAACAATTAAATATAATTGTTTACTACGACTTAATTAGTTAATAAAAAATATTTTAAAATAAAATCTTAATAAATTATTGTTTTTTTTTTCATGTTTTAAAAAAAAAAGAAATTAAAAGTTGAAGCTACGATGAATATAGAAAACATAAAAATATATTTCACAAATTCATATTATTTTTAATATTTGTTAATAATAATTCAAGCAATTATTTTATTAATAATAAACAAACAGACAGACAAACAAACAAAAAAGAGCATTTCTGATTTCTTAAACTGTGTTGCCAGAATCTAACAAATACTATGTGGCTCATCACTTTTTAAAAGCAAAACATGATTTATATTTTATTATTTTTTGAAATTAAATTTTTCAATTTAATGGAAATAAAAAATTTATTTAAAAAAAAGAATTACTTTCTAATATTTTTATAAATTTTCATTGAATTTTGCTCTTTCTTCGGTGATAAATTCTTTCAAAGTATTATACCCTTTTTATTTTATTCAAATGTTCAGTAATAAAATATATTTTTCTTATAAATAATTTTACTTTATTTATAAATAAGCAAGTAAGTAATACATATTCATATTTTGGTTTCTTAATAGGATTAGTTATT